GGAGACGTGATTTGAGAGAGCGTAACCATCACAAAATGGTACAGATAGAAAATAATGGTAATAATGTTTTTTCGCATAAAAATACATTACTTCTTAAATAATAATTATATTTAAAGTTAAAATCAAAAGAAACACGGATTGACATGTTACATTTCATTCCACTTCATTGGACACGGGAAAAGATTTAATCACCACTAAACTACATTAAGTGTATATACATACAAAGAAACACATTTACACACATAACAGATTTAAGAATCTATGGATTGAAAACAAAACATCTTCATCACAACGGTGAATTTATATGTTCATGGAGGTTTGTTCTTTTATTTCAGGTATTGTTAATATTTCTATTACAAAGCTTTAATTGTTTTTTCACGATTCTTTTCATTGATCGGTCGTCCTTAATATGCATGAAATATTTGCCACTGGACGTTAAGCAATCAACAATCATTATCATTAATCGCCACATCAATTTAGGAGACTTAATTACAATGTATGAAGTCACAATTTAATTATAATGGCTTGAAACCGAAAACGAATGAATTGTGTAAAAATATATTATTATGCAATTAAATTTTTTACATGCACATGTTGTATATTGTATAATGTTATCTATCTATTTCCATATTAACAACCATTAAGGAAATAAAATTTTGACCACGATGACTTACAGATCAGGGTAACTTTGATTCATCATTGAACAACCATTACGCTGTTATGTAACACACAATTTATATTCGGTATAGATAATAAATACAAGTAAATATGTTAATAAATATAAGATGTATTCAACTAATGTCCTATTAAACAATTATGAAATTACATCATATTGATAAAAGATAAATTATTATATATATGACAAAGTTTCCCAGCATATATTATGCTTTCACCGTCAGTAATTTTATATGAATGAAAAGAGATGTGGGATAAACGTCAATGAGACAGTAACCAAACGACAAAAATAACCCTACACTCTGAACTGTATGTGTGTCATGGCAAATATGTCCGTTCCGTTCCTTTTCACATAAATGGTGTCATAATCTTCTATGACTAGAAAGTATAATATATGACATTTCACATTCAACCACAAAATACATCACACGTGAGGAGCAGGAATGGAAACTTAGATGAATTTTTCAAACAGAATAAAATTTAATTGGGATCCCATTGCAACACATTCCGTTTATTGAAATTTAAAACACTGCTCGCGTTTTGACAGTATACTAGTAAGCTATTTTGAAGAAGTGACTCACCCTCTGCCGCAGCAAAGCTTTGCGAAGAGCGACTTCTGTTGGACTATCGGACCGTCGGATTAACGGACTGTCGAACTATCGAACTGTCGGAATTTCGGGGTGTCGGATTATAGCTACGTTCCTCCTTACAGGCGACACTTTACTTTTATTTCAAGATGTAATTCTAAACACTATTATAGACATTTTTTGGCAGTGCTTGTAACATATCGCACAAACAAGTGCGTGTGACTGTTTACATCCTGTTTGCTACATTACCATTCTTTTGGCGTATGTAACATCAACCTTATTACACCTTAAAACTATAAAAGAAATCCTTTTCTTATTTGAAAGTATATTATTCAAAATCCAAGTGGCAATAGTTTTTGTATATATTTGTGAATGGAATCATCCAAATTAATTTCGAATCAGTTTTTCGTGACAGCTTACGTGTTACATGGTTCATCAAGTATTCTTTCATTTTCAGACATTGTATTTCTGTCATCAACTAAAAATAGTTGACAAACAGTGATAAACGACAAACGAAAAGTCTTTCGTTGTAATTTTAAATCACAGTAAACGATTATGAGTAAAAAAAATGTAAATGAGACAATAACACTACAAAAAAAAAAAAAAAAAAATCCAAACGAGTAATAAAAAAGAAAACTTTCTAGGTCCACATACAACAGTCCTCATCATAGTTAATCCATGAAATAATCTTGAATCAGAATAAGAGGCTCTGGATGGATGGTCCTTAATTTCTGTATTCCTTGAATTTTTGGGACATTTTTCTGTATCTTTAGAAAAAATGCCTATTCTGTAAAAGTCTCATGAAAATGATTGTATTATTGATTGTTCAAGTAAATGGGCGATTTCTTCATTTCTTCATTTCTGTAACCAGTATTGTATTACCGTATTCTTTTATTTTCCAGTTATTCTTTATATTGTTGCACCCAATTATTCTCTATTCTTTATACTTTTGCTCATTTTTCTCTTTTCATTATTTATTATGTTCATTATTCTTTATCCTGTAAACCCCATCCAGACCCTCATATAATGTGTAACTATGTCAAAAGAAAGACTACGCATACAACCATCCACCATCAACCAACATCAAATTCTTTATAGGACAAAACAGTGCGCAGTAATAGACGAAATTTCTGGGAAGACACAGAACCATATGCCGAGTGTAATTTATGTTTTTGTATCTCCTTTTTTTGAACCCGATTACATTAAAAAAGCCAATTAAAGGTAGAGTAGAGCACTGGATGTCACCGTATCAAAGAATATTCGTTAAAAAAGTAATGAAGACAAAAAAATAAATATTATAATTTGTTTAGAAAAGCTGTAATTATAGGAATTATATCGTAGATGCATTTTAATTTATTCGGGAATTTTAAAAATTACTAATTACATTTGGAGTTCCTTTCTTAATCATATTTCATCAGAAAAGCTGTAATTATAGGAATTATATCGTAGATAGATATAAGAAGATGTGGTATGAGATGCATTTTAATTTATTTGGGAATTTTAAAAATTACTAATTACATTTGGAGTTCCTTTCTTAATCATATTTCATCAGAAAAGCTGTAATTATAGGAATTATATCGTAGATAGATATAAGAAGATGTGGTATGAGATGCATTTTAATTTATTCGGGAATTTAAAAAAATTACTAATTACATTTGGAGTTCCTTTCTTAATCATATTTCATCAAGTGCTGTCATATCTAATATTTTTAGATTCCAAATTAAAAAGAAGCTACAACGATTTAATAGAACTTGCGAAAATTGTCTTTAGTCACAATTGCTTTAGAATCAATCGTACCAGACCAGCTGCGGATCCAGGATTTTGAAAAAAGTAGGCCCACACTAGACAAAGTTTGGAGTGGGACATGTAAAAAGTATATGCATTAACAGTCGATGCATTACATGTAACCATATATGTAGCACCATAAGGGGACCATGTCCCCCTGGGCCCCATACATTCTTTAAACTCGTTAGTTTTTGTCTTAAGTTATACAACGGAATGTGATTTTTTTACTTTCTGTCCTTTAGAGAATGGTTTGTCAATGACAGATCTTTACAAGTCTGTAAAATAAATCTATAATTAGCATTTCTGTGTTGACATGAATTATTATTGATATTGTCATAAATAGAAAGGAACTGTTTACAATACTTTGAATGTTTCGATAACTAAGGATTTTCTACCCCAGGAACAAATTACCTTAGCTGTATTTGGCAAAACCTTCGAAATTTTGTGTCCTCATTGCTCTTTAACTTAGAACTTTATTTGGCCTTTTTAACTTTTTTTATTCGAGTGTCACTGGTGAGTCTTTTGTAGTCGAAACACGGGTCTGGCGTACACTATTTTAATCCTGTTATCTATGATGAGGTTTTAAAATAAATTTATAATAAGGCAATACTAGGATAACCAAATACTGATGTCTAGATGTCTTTTGTGTAATTTGTGTTGTTATAGGTAGCTGTCTCATTGACGTATACTCCGCACATTCGTTTCTAAATGCGAGTTTGAACCCGTTCGTGGCAAGGTTTGTTCGACTCCGATCTTAATCTTAGAATTGCCGAAGATCGGTTGTTTTCTCCGACGGCATACCCATGCTTCCTCCATCAATTAAACCTGGCCGCCATGATATAGCGTACAGTGCTGAAAATGGCATAAAATACCAAGAATCAATAACTCAAATCGATCCTTTATCGATAAGATGGAGACACCCATTGATAACTTAAATCGATCCTTTATCGATAAGATAGAGATACCCATTGGTAACTTAAATCGATCCTTTATCGATAAGATGGAGATACCTATTGATAACTCAAATCGATCCTTTAACGATAAGATAGAGATGCTCATTGATAACTCAAATCGATACTTTAACCATAAAAAGGAGGTACCCATTGATAACTCAAATCGATCCTTTGTCGATAAGATGGAGATACCTATTGATCACTCAAATCGATCCTTTATCGATAAGATGGAGATACCTATTGATAACTCAAATCGATCATTTATCGATAAGATGGAGATACCTATTGATAACTCAAATCGATCCTTTAACGATAAGATAGAGATACTCATTGATAACTCAAATCAATACTTTAACGATAAAAAGGAGATACCCATTGATAACTCAAATCGATCCTTTGTCGATAAGATGGAGATACCTATTGATAACTCAAATCGATCATTTATCGATAAGATGGAAATACCCATTGAACACCAGAAGTATGACCATTTTTGGGTTATAGATAGTTGAAGGACTGAAGATGAAACTAACGACGTGTGCTACATCAATCAAAATATCAAATCCGTTGAAAGGTCTTTGACGTTTATTAAGGATTGTCAGGTGCAGCTATGCATGGAAGTATTATTTTTTTGCATGAATTCAGCAACTTAAAGTAATAAACAGATTTGGTACAAATGCAAATACGACACGAGACGAAAAATATTATTTTTACCGAACCCATATATAAAAAAATAAAACTTTACTATAATATTAATATATCTTACATTTAAGAAACAAAAATTCTATTCAGTTCAAGGGTCGAACTTTGGTATAATGAAATATTATACAATAATCATTTATAACTTCGATTAACTGATTGGTTCATTTCATTAAACAGGAAACAGGAAGCCGATTGCGTGTCAATAATTATAGCTGATACAAGCAAAGTTTATACGAAATACAAAATATAGCTTCTTTCAAAGTAATAATAAGATCCTTCACACTGTCACAACAATACTTGACTACGGTCAAAGTATTAAATTAAATGTTGTAAATCATTTACAAATACAAGAATTTGGTAATTCAATGATAGTAGTTGGAATGATAAAATTCCTACACCTGATAAATGGAAAAGAGGTTCCACACTATAAACACGAAAAAAGGTAATTGATTTACATGTATAATTACTTGATATCTTGAGATATAATTAACCGTTTTTGTTACATTCTTTTTTTATTTGTTCATTCCCTTTTTCTCTTCTATTTTAATCGCAGGAAACATTAAATGATTTATTATGACAATTTTACGAATTGAAAAAGGGAATGGGAATGAAAAAATATATGGATTTTTAACGTCCTTCGACAAGTATTATATGAAATGAATAAATAAAATAAAAATAAAAGTATCTTAACTTATACATGTTATGTAAAATGAATACGAACGTTTCTTTTCATTAATCTTACACGCCGAACCAGATTTTTATCGTGCTAGTTTATATTTTTAGTCCGCAGGAAGACATGTTACCACACCAGGACACAATAATCTGATTTCCGAAAGGGCCAGTCTAGGGAAGCGATAATACTCATGTTAAAGTCTTTGGTTAAAAATCATTAAAGATACATTTACCAGGCTTAAAATTTGGTGTAACATACGTGCGTTTCTTCTACATAAGACTGCTCGAAATAAAACAAAAAGAAGAGCAAATAAAAAATGAAGTTGAAGATCATTAAAAACCAAAATGTTGTGCCAAATACGACTAACGCTATCTATGCCTGTGAGTAGTGTTTCGAATAATTCAATATTTTATAAACATTCGGGGTTCAAACCCAACGACACCCGAAACATATGCGAGCAATCTGTCAAATAGAAATACAATTTGTCGTTGTATTATTAGTGTTGCATCATCATTTTCTTCAGTTGGTAAAACGCGAAATAACATTGAATATGAACTAGGATGACAACGGTCTGCAAACTGTTACTCTCTATAATGATTTTGATTCAAGATTTGCAAGGTTCAAAACAGTTCAACCAAACCATTGAGTTTTTTGCTTGTTGAAAATGTTAATTATCGATGTTATTTATTATTTGTTTTATTATTATTTTGACTTGTTTGATGACCAGAATAGATAACACAATCCAGGATGTGAAAACAAATTCTTTTCAGTTTTGCTAAGCTCTGCTGTCACTTTAGCAAGGACTGAACTAGCTTTAGATAGTTTTTTTTTTTTTTTTTTTTACTTTGCAGTACTTTTAATAATTCTATGATTCGGTAGCATTTAGTTTAATTTTCATGAAGATGTTTTGACAAAATAGCTTATCATCGCCTCCTGTTTTATGTGTCCCAAGACAGGAGTCTTACCAATAAAATATTTAAATGTTGATGTAAGATCTTCAATTTTACCTGTTTATTTTATTTTCTTCTTGAACTCGGAGCGAAATAAAGGTTTTTTAATTGTTTAGATGCAAGTTTAAAAATGTTTAAGATCTCATTATGACCTTTTACTTGATATAGAAATATGACGATGGGGTAAGACTGCCTATGAGACAACTCTCCACCAGTTACAAAATGACGTAGAAGTAAGCAACTATAGGTCACCATACGGGCTTCAACAATAAGCAAAACCCATTCCGCATAGCAAGTTATAAAAGGCACCGAAATGACCAATGTAAGACAATTCTTACGAGAAAAGTAATGGCCTGATTTATGTTCAAAACAATAAACGAAAAAAAAATATGATATACAGCAACAAACGGCAACCTCTGAATTACAGGTTCCTGACTTGGGACAGACACATACAGAATGTGGGGGGTGGGGGGTTGAAATATTAGCGGGCGCCAAACTCTCTCCCTAAACCTGATGGCTTTTATAATATGTACTCTTGAATTGTTGGGTTTCAAACTCGTTTACCTTACTCTATGTTCCCTTTTATTGCTATAAGTGTGTGGTAATATTTATTTAAATTGCTTTCATTACTAGGAAAGGGGGTTTTCTCTTACCCTGAAAAATAATTATATAATCTAAAATTAATTTACGAACTGTTAATGACGTGTTTATTTAAAACAATAAGAGTTTGAAGGGTCTAACTTCTGATTCCTATCTTTATATTCAGATATACACATATCTGTCATGTATCATTATTTGCTTTAGCATCCTTAATAATTCAGCAGTGTACTTCAGAGTGTGTAACAACTTTATTTCCATTTTAGTATTTTGAATGTATTAGCTAATTCTGCATGTTATAGTAAACGAAATAAATTATGTATCTTTTCGATGTAGATGGAATACGGGGTACATTTTTTCCTTTCCATTTGAGTTTAACAATTTCAAATTTAATAAATTATCTTTATCTGTTATCAAATCTTTTAGCAAATATTTGGATGTTAACAGTTTAAGTCGTATTGACTCATTTATACATGCAGAACATCTCCAATCATTAAATATATATTTACGTACAAAATGGACTAACCGCAATGGCTATACTATTCCCAGAGTACTGACTATTTATTAAATGACAAACATCTTCGGCAATATCTGTTTGAGTTTGATTTTTTATAGAGAGGATTGTCGGCTCTACAACATCAAATAGATGTCATTTTATGTAGCATTGCATTTCACCGTATTCTATGAAAATTGGCACAGATATCGTTCAATTTCATGTCAGCACCTTTGGTCACTTGACCTCTTTGATGCGTCTTCTTCTTCATCCCTTCTATACCGATTGTAACTGTTTTATACATTTATATTGTGAAAATATATTTTAGTCAGGTAATCCACACAATGGAAAAGAACGAAATTACACAATTTGAAGGTTTTGAAATAGACGGTCTTGAGAAGTTCCCTTTTTCTGGCATCAAAGTCATTGGAGCAATACATGTTGGACTAAGTGTCACGTGCATGATTCTAGGAATAATCAATGTTGTGACCTTTGTAGTAATGGATGAATCTCCAACATTTACTGACAAAGCCTTAAAGGAAAAACAGGAACTAGCAATGCAGATCTCTATATCGTCTACGCCAATGTGGTGTGGTATATGGGTAAGAAAAGACTTACTTATATAAGTAATGTTTGAAGTATACGATCTTGATATTACAAACATATATCGAACTCGGAAAATAATTTACACTCCAGGATAATGGAAAGAGCAAACCCAATAAACTATTTATACGACTGTAAACCTATGAGATTTAGAATAATTCACTATTCGGAAATACTGCAGTACCACAGCTAGCTAGTCAATTATTTTGTGCATAAACGTTTTTCAATCTTGAAAGTAAAGGGATTTTATTTATTATCCTTTTTTCTGTTTTTAATGATAATTATACGTATTTCTTTTTTTTCTTCAAACAACTGTTTGGTCTTTTTTAAAACTTAATTATTTTTTTTCAAAGGAATATACCGCCACCCTTTTTATTTCAATTTGTTAATTTTGCGTTTCCTTTATTCAATATCATTGGATGATACGGACCAGAACAGACCATTAAATCTTTAAATACGAAGACATTCTTGTCGATAATATTTTTCAGTTCTGCATGTGTGGTACTATGGCGCTTAATATATCAAGACAAAAGAAGTCTAGTATTTACTGCTTTGTGAGTATAAACGTATTTTATGTACAAAATTTTTTTCAAACATTTTACAGATAACCTAATGCTAAAAGCTCTCTCTTATTCATAATCCCAAAAACTTAAGGAGTAAAACCACTTATTCATAGCCCTATTGCTTTCTATGTAAAATTCTACAATTTTAGCATTCATAGCTATTTTGTTTTAAATATTAATATAGTGACAGTCATTTTATATTAAAATTATGCCTTATCCTGGCTTTTACTGAAATATTCAACATACATTTACATGTAATTGCATATTAGAGCGCATTGAAGTTTTGTAGTACAAAAACAGATACTTTCTGATCAGAGGAGGCAAATATGCTCTCCTATTTTAATTTCGTTATTCAAAAGATAAAAGTGAGAATGGAAATAGGGAAAGTGTCAAAGAGACAACAGCCTGACCAAAGAGCAGAATACAGCCCAAGGCCACCAATGGGTTTTCAACCCAGCGAGAAAATCCAGCACCCTGAGGCAGGCCTCAGCTGGCCCCTAAACAAAAATGTGTACTAGTTCAGTGAAAATGGAGAAACTTTCAACAATGGTTTTTCAGTGATACCAAGTCCCTTAATAGTTATCAAAGGTACCAGGATTATAATTTAATACGCCAGACGCGCGTTTCGTCTACATAAGACTCATCAGTGACGCTCAGGTTAAAATAGTTATAAAGCCAAACAAGTACAAAGTTGGAAGAGCATTGAGGACCCAAAATTCAAAAAAATTGTGCCAAATACGGCTAAGGTAATCTATTCCTGGGATAAGAAAATTCTTAGTTTTTCGAAAAATTCAAAGTTAAATCTTTCATTGAATACTAAAATCACTCAAATATTTGACTTATTTTCTTATTCATATGGGTTTATAAGATTGAGCATCGGTAAACTACTGTTGCCTCTAATCTAATACTACTAAAATATTTTATACACATATGATGAACACAATAAAAAGATCTTCGACAAGACATGATATCTACATATAATTTACTAGCACAGAATAACGTAAATGAAATTTATGTTCGTGGTTACTTTTGTTTTTACAGAAAATGTCTTTCTTGATACTGAGTATTTTATGTTCAGCGTTGTTTGGTCCTGCCTGCGCATGTGTAAATGCATATGAAGCTTTACTGGTAGGTGCAAACATATTAGTATAATGTTATTGGATAGTTATTTACATAAAATACCTGCTTTATAGTAAGTTTACGCACGGTTCTTGATTTTCATAAGACCATACCCTAAGAATTCATATTGTTATGATAGTGTGTTATTTATATGTTAAATCCTTGTTGTATAGTTAATATAGAAAGCAAAATGCGGTAATATATTTATTTTGACTTTTTATCTTTAACTTTAAACATTTTTGTAATCATATAATAAAAAGACTTCAAATTTGCAGCGACATGGGCTTTACAGTACCGACTACAAATGGCTGGTTCCGCTGCTTATAGCATTCTTTGCATTCAATGAAATTGTAGTCAGTATCATATCAGCGATAGCGTGTTGCTGTTGTGCAACATTAAAAGAAACAAAGGTAAGTTATACTAAAACTCTAAATGTAGTTATCAGTATAGAACTGAAACACTATGTATGATATAAGGTAAGTTTAAATATGAAAGATAAACTTAAAAGTTGTTACAATTCAGCAGCCGGTTGTACGAACGTGGTATTAGCCTAATGGGTCATTAAGTCTTCATTAAGCCTTTATAATGCATTAGGCTAATGAAGACTTAATGACTCATTAGTCTAATGACACGTTCGTACAACCGGCTGCTGCTCTCTAAATGTAAGTTAAACCGCCTCTCCACATGTTGAACTTAAGCACTCAATTTAGAAGTTAAACTTCAGCAACAATTTAGAATAACACTGCATTTCTCAATATAAAAGTGACACCCCAGCTCTTAATATAGAAGTTAAACGTTAGCTCTCTCTTCAACTTTGTACTTCATTTGACTTTAAAAATAAATTTGATTCAAGCGTGACTGACAAGTCTTTTGTAGACGAAACGTGCGTATCTGGCGTATAAAATTATCAGCCTGGCATCTTTGATGATTTTTTCTATATACGTTGCACTTAAATGGTACTATACACAAGGCTTTGTATCTTTACATTGGTATTCATACTTTTATTTTTCAAACTTACTGTCGGATCTTATTCAATAAATTACCTTTTTGTTCCTGATTGGTAATTTTTCAAGTTCAAGCAGATGTTATCATCAATTTTCATTATTTTTCTATTATCTCTTGTCCCATATTCAAAATAATTGATTTGCTTAGAAAATATTGAATGTTAACAATTTTACCAACATACAGTCTTCAACAATAGACATATGTCTACAGATGGGCTCTGCACTAAATCATCCCGAGCCGAGACTAAAACAATTGTGAATAAATTAAACAGAAACTTATAAAGATCTGCCATTACTTTTTATGAACATTTTCAGCGTAATAGTAGTTTATGTAGAAGACTTTGAAATTTGTATAATTTGTGTTTGTTCCTTTTTGTATCTTTGATTATAATATTAACTTCGATTTTTTAGTATTTCAGTTTTTGGGTTCTGACTATCGTTAAAATTAGACAAGTAGCTTATTTTTCTTTTGAGATTTTATGTCGTAGGGTTGTAACTCACCCTATTTGTACCATTTATAAAATAAAAGCATTAAATTAAATGTCTTTTGGTTTTTATATGTCGTTTGGTTACTTTCCGATTGTCGTATACCCAACATTACATTTTAGTCCTATGTATATTGTGTATGATAGGTTACAATATGGACAGCGGATGTAGCGTTAAATCGTATAACACTTTTCTATAATAATAACCCAATACAATAAACATGCATTAATTACCTATTTTGTTTTCTTTTGAATATTTTTGTCTAGGTAAGAGTGCTGTTGACGCCAAATATTCAAACACAGCATAAACTAATAAAACAAGAATTCCAGACACGGCCTGGTAACCCACATTTACAGCGAGACTACTTACAAGACAATAGAGATATATTTAGGATCATCAACAGAAATCAACAGCGCAATATTGGTGAACAACCAATGTTTAAAACACATTCTAAGAATATAACAACACTAAGATCAAATTTTACAGCAGACCATATAATATATAACAACATTCCTGATTAATGCTGGATGACAAATCTGATTTTGGCTTCAGATTGAATCCAAAAGAGTTTTTGGAACCGTTCTTTTCATAAAATAATATAATTTTTTTATATAAATAAATTATGTTGATCCCTTTCGCTACGTTAAACACACTTTGTTATACTCACGACCAAAACCAACAAGCTTCCAAGCGGCATCGTCGTCCTTTGGTTTAACACATTAATCTCTCAAACTGTTAAGACCGTTTTGAAAAAAAGTACTGACTTTGATTATACTAAGGTGATCTAGGTGGTTTCTTGTATTCTTTGTAGCCCGATTCGGTCATGTTTAAGTACATGTACATGAAACTTCCAATAAACGTATGATTCTATCCCTGTTGACTACTCCACTAGAGCCGTGAACATTCCGTCCAAATGTGTGTCTAGACATGCACATCGAATAAGAAAATTGAGAAAAAAGACTTTCTACATCCACTGGTATGAAGTACATTTCACTTTTAGAACTTATTTTATTTTCCCATTGCTAGTAATTATGATCGAAGGAGACTTGGGATATATGTCAATAAGAGACCGCAATCCAGAACAAGATTTACTATCTAAAAAACAACAGAGGCGGTTGTAATTCGATAAAAAAGGAAACGGTCAAATGAAAGGTTTTCCATTACAAATATGTCTTATGCTTTCGATTACAAAACAAGATTGATACCGCTGTTACTATAAAGAGGAAATTTGTCGAAAGGATTATTCTGTGAATTATATTCTTATTGTGATCTTTAGGTGTCGCTAGCTTGAGTCTGGTGTAGATTCCTTACTGTAAACGTAGCCATCAAGATCTTTCGATTGGCACTCTTTTGTAAAAGTATCTATCAAAAATTCAAAAATTTCAAAATGATGAGAACTTTTTAATTGTGTCGTGTACTTGGCCTGGTATATTAGATATAGCCTGGTATATGAGATATAATTATCGCCAAAAACAGTAAATTTAAACGAGAATACAACTTTATACAAATTATTTAAAAACAGAGCAATCCCACATATATTGATTAAATATTCATTCTCCGATAAAAAGGTGGTGGTCGTTTAAGCAGAAGGTTACAAGCTTTCGGCGGTAATTTTTAACCTGTAAACCACTGCGTTTTCGGCTGGTTTACCAACAATTTGATCAAGATATAGAAATCCTCCCTGATTTCGTTTTTCGACAAAAGACGTTTGACTTGAAAACCAATGTCTTTTTCCGACGCAACAGAATCTAGATTTGTAAAATCAGAATCTCTATATAGTGCAGGTAAACGAGTTTTGTTTTCTAGACGAACTTCTGATTTCATTTTATTTTCATTTTTTTTTTGTGCTTCTTCGTTACATTTGTTTGTTTTTATAGTGATTAAGATGATAACACAATGTTGACTGCTGTACCCCTATTTTTGACATTTTTACCTATTGTATCTGTTTGTTTTGTTCACGCATCGTTGTCAATATAATGGAATTTGATGCGACTGTCATACGAGTGAGAGGTTTAGCTAGCTATAAAACCAGGTTCAATCCACCATTTTCTACATAAGAAAATGCCTGTACCAAGTCAGGAATACGACAGTTGTTATCCATTCGTTTGATGTGTTTGAACTTTTGATTTTGCCATTTGATTGGGGACTTTCCTTTTTGAATTTTCCTCGGAGTAAAGTATTTTTGTGATTTTACTTTTTATATGTTACGGATGTAGTTCACCCGAATTATCGTTGTCTTGTGATGCTGATAACATACTATACGGTTTAATTTTGTGTATAATGGAATGAGCTGAAAGTGGGACCATTAGAAAATATGGCTTTGTTTTCAGATTTGACACTTTCGTGGATTGACAGTCATGGTACGACACAACAAAGTCTGTGACATTGTTCCCCATCCTAGGAAAATAATAATTCTCTAAAACGATCTAGTGTATTTTGAATTTCGCTATGACCACATAGCGGCGAGCCATGTACCATAAGGTATAAACTATCGATATTTCTGTGGGAGCAGATAACTGCTATGTGGACTTAGCATTAACATTTGTAATAAAATATATGAAAATAGTGGAATTAACTATTTTTGGAGTGTAAAAAATTCTTTGGATGTTTAGATAAATTACGTGCTTTTGATGATCCTTTAGATTCTGTTGACAGTTTTGACTTTTCAACACTTTACACTACACTTCCACTCAATCTTATCAAACAAAAGTTTTCCTATTCAATTAAATGATCGTTTGGTAAATCAAATATATTTGCTGCAACTCATTTAAAGCCTTCTTCTCTAATGAGAAAGGTAAATATGCTAGATATACTTACTAGAGGTGTGATGAGATGATTGAAGCTGTTAATTTTTCTCCTTGATAATATTGATGTACGTTTCGGCAAAATTTTTTATCGACAGGTTGTAGGTATTCCTTTGAGCACCAATTGCGCCCCTTTAATAGCAGACTTGTTCTTGTACTGTTATGAATCACAGTTTATGACCAAACTCAGTAAAGACCCGTCTAAATTGCATTTAATTGATAAATTCAACAACATTTACCGTTATCTTGATGATACTTTTTCGTTAAATAATCAGGAATTTTCTAAATATACTGCCGAAATTTATACAAAGGAACTTATTTTAAATAAATCAAATATGAACGGCAATAACCGTCTTTTTCTAGATTTAGATATTTCAGTTTTACACGGGAAACTCTACACTGAAATTTACGACAAAAGGGACGATCTTTCGTTTCCTATTGTAAATTTTCCTTTTTTGGACGGTGATGTTCCTTTGGCACTATCTTACCATATATCACAACTCGTTTGCTATGCCCGTGTCTGTTGTGACGTTTTGGATTTCAATGAACGTAATCTATGTGTTACTGGTAAATCATTAAGTCAGGGATTTCGTTACCACAAGTTACTTAAAACCTTTACTGAATTCTTCCATAAATATAAAGATTTGGTTTTGAAGTTTGGTTGTACCTGTAAAAAACGTATTTCAAACGGGATAGCACATCCTCATTTTTACGGAGATGTTGATTACCGAGCCCGGAAATTTAGAAACGATTCGATCCTTTAAATAAAGTTATTCTAAAAGGTTACCAATTCAACACTGTGATTAGATCTTTGAATATTGTTTTAATTGGTATTTGAATTGATTTTGTTATCAGTAAATTTAAATCAAACTTAATATTATTTTTATAAACATATGCACATTCATGGCTCTACAATCTGTCGATACCTGTATCTTAGCATTGCACAAGGTCATGTTTTTCTGAGTCTCCGACTGTTTATGACCTCTTTACTCTATTTCCATTGGATGTTGGATGTGTACTAATTGATATTTTATTTTTAGATGCATGATGTGTTTTATTAGTTGTTATTAGCTTTGAACTAGCTGTCAGTAACTGCGAGTACTCTCAGATCTGGACTTAGTATCATTTTGTTGTAGGGATGTATAAGTACTTGTCCACGTCCACTCTATGTATTTGTTAGATGTATTTCTATTTGTATCCATCTCATGAGTTAAGCCTTTTTCAACTGATTTTTATAGTTTGTTTTTATGTTGTACTGTTACACCACTGTCCCAGATTAGGGGAGGGTTGGCGCCTTCAAACAAGTTTAACCCCGCCACATTCTGTATGTTCCTGTCCCAAGTCAGGAGCCTGTAATTCAGTGGTTGTCGTTTGTTGCTGTGTAACATATTTGTTTTTTGTTCATTATTTTGTACATAAATTAAGCCGTTAGTTTTCTCGTTTGAATTGTTTAACATTTGTCATTTCGGGGCCTTTTACTATATAGTATAGCTGACTATGTGGTATGGGCTTTGCTCATTGTTGAAGGCCGTACGGTGACCTATAGTTGTTAATTTCTGTGTCATTTGGTCTCTTGTAGAGAATTGTCTCATTGGCAGCTCATACCACATCTTCTTATTTTTATGTAACAATAGAATTTATAATGCTCAGATTTTGCTCGTATTTCCGATACACTACGCATTGTATCAATATGTAAGCCAGGGCATCCAACAACATGGACCGAGCACGTTTTTGGGACGGGTGAGAGAGGGTTGATTGTCATACAAACGAGTAATAATAAGTTTGATAATCAGTTGTTAACTATTTCGTAAACTGCGCAGAAAGTGCAATTTTAGCTATGCCATTGATAGCCCTACTTTTTTTTGCATTTCCTGGTGAGTGTGTTTTTGTTTTCAAAGTCTAAAGGATCATCGGTGTCGTCATTAAATGGTTCCTGATTTTTGTTGCAAAATATAACTGGAACTATCGGTATTTCCTTTCAAGTGTGTATTATGTCATTGTCTGATAGATCATTAGACATATCTTTCTGAAGTAGAAATAGATCAGGAAAGTTATGTCCCCTGATAAATCAATATCTTCGACTACATCAGTTATATACGATTATTAAGGATCTTCATTCGTTGAACTTTTAACTTGTAAACTATATGCATTTTCCCAGCAAAACGAAGCATCTGCAACCTGCCCGGATCGATTGTACGTGATTAAAAATGAAAAGTGTTTTAGAATGACCAGCCATATTTCATATTTGGCCCTTTAAATAGCGTATGAAAAAGCAGTTGCATTGTGAACCTCCTTAACGAACCGGCAAAATCAAATACGCTACTTTGCGACTTAAAATTCCAATTTTGTCGGTCCATATGACTGTTGACATGTCTTTAGAGATTTCGTAACAAAGCGGATTATTTTTAGTTCATTATTTTGCGAATCTTTATGGTAAAGCATATATCCAATGTTTCGGGTAGACGGGTCTTGTTCAAGTCGAATTGGTAGGTCAAAAGACGGAAAACGTTAAATGTCAGTGTTAACAAGACGTGTTTTCAAACCATTTATACATTGGCATTCTTTCCTAAGCTTTCCATTCGAAACATAGATTTTTTCAAAGGTTTATTCAGTGGATAATTCAAGGCACTGAAATCAGGACTTTTGGAGGAATAAATTTCCTCGACCAGTTAAAAATGCCGATAAGACGACATAGATGTTTAATGATATTAGGTTCGAGGTAATCAACTTAACCTGAAAAAGATCTTTGGAGGACGAATAACATCCTTTGAAAGTTCATGACCAATAAAATACAATTTTTTGTTTGCAAAATGACACTTCTTTGGACCTTAC